GGCTCTGTGTCAGGGCCCTGAGTCTCCTGAGGACGAGTCCCCAGGAGAGCCCTGTGACAGTCATTGGCTCTAGCTGAGGTTGGAGGCCTCATTCATGTGAAAAGCCCTTCCCAGGAAAGCCCTCGGCCCCATGTATGCACCCATACAGGTAGCTCTCACTTTGGAGAGGTTTTAGGGGAGAATGCAAAGGAAAGCAAAGAACAAGCATGGCCTTTAAGTGGGAGTTGGGAGGATGGCACAGCTTTCAGCTTGTAGAACAACACTTTAAAATAGAGAATTTCCTAACTGTATAAACCAGAGATATTCACAGGCTGCGATGATTTAAGCCTCCAGATACCCATTCAGCATCAGAAGTGTCCAAGACTCTTGTTTCAGTGTTTCTCCTTGACCCCATCAACGCTTGGCTTTGCCCCGGGACGCTGTCTGATCCCAGCCTGTGCCCAGGGCTCCCTTCGGTGCCGTCGCTCCCCTGGGTCTCACTGTCTTTTTCTCTCCTCCTTTGAAGAGGTGGCTCTGCAGCCGGCCCCAGCTCTGACCTGGAGGACCATTGGGGGCATTTTGGATTTTTACATCTTCCTGGGGCCTGATCCCAACATGGTCATCCAGCAGTACCAGCAGGTGATAGGTGCGTGACCACCCCACTGCCTTCCTTCCCCCCATCCAAGCCCTGCATCACCTCCCCTTGCTGCCTCCAGCCCATCTCACCCCAAACCCTGCCAGGACATCTGATGTCAACGGCTGCCACTCTTTTACCCTTTCCATCCCTTCACAACATTGCTCCTGTCTTAGCCTCCCTTGGGTGCATCTGTCTTGCTCCAGGTTTCCCGGCCATGCCGCCCCTCTGGGCACTGGGTTTCCACCTCTGTCGCTGGGGATACGGATCGAGCAACGAAACCTGGCAGACTGTGAAAGCCATGAGGAATTACCAGATCCCACAGGTAAAATCAAGGCACGCTGGTGGAAAGCTGGGGCTCCACACGTGTGTTTCTGACCTTCTCTTTCCTGCAGGATGCTCAGTGGAACGACATTGATTATATGGACGGATACCGGGACTTCACCTTCGATCCCGAGAAGTTTGCCTCCCTCCCGTCGCTGGTGGAAGACCTCCACAAACACGGCCAGCGCTACGTTATGATTTTGGTAACTGACAGATAGGACTGTGGGTCAGGCTCTTAACTCTGACTCAGGAATCTCCGTTTCCCCCCAGCTATGGGGATCTTGTGACCCAGCTGGGATCTCCCGTTTTTTCCTGTGTTTGTAAATGGCATGTGGGTTGTACTTGCTTGAGGCAGTGGAGACCAGGCCTTCCTGGGGTGGACAAGGGCTCTTGGGACAGGAAAGATTGGGTTCCCTGGGTCTGCTTGAATGGCTATCTTCAAGCATTACTGTCACCCAACATTTCTTGCACAAGTGCATGATTTCTTATATTTGTCCCCCTCACTCCTCAAAACACTGTAACGAGTCCTTGGTACTTGCAGAAGTGGCATTTTAGAAAGTATGCCTGGAAGTGCTGAAGCAAGTTTCTGTTCCTCTTGGTCAAAACAGGAGCTGTGTGTGAGCTCCTGCTGACCCTAACTTGCTCATCTTCTTCTCTGAATCACTGTGGTATTGCTGGGGGAAGGGGCCAAACCTTATCAGGGAAGTCTTTATCTTTCTGATTTGTTTTCAGGATCCTGGCATTAGCAGCACCAACCCCCAGGGCTCCTACTGGCCTTTTGATGAAGGCTTGAGACAGGGGTTGTTCATAAACACCACCCAAGGGCAGCCACTGATAGGACAGGTAAGAAAATCTGTGATTAGGAACAGCTAAGGAAAATCCCAGTCCTGTTAGAGTTTGGCTTTAGCAGGGCTGAATTTTTTTCCCTAACGCAAGAGGAAAAGCCAAGTGGTTGAGGGACCTCTCTGGGCCAATTATAGAGTCTGGCTCTGTCCTGAGGCCTCTCAGCTTTCTTTAGCTTGGGTGCCTGTTTCACCTTTTGGCCGCTCCAGAGTTTATTCCTGCCCCAACGGAGTCTGCAGGGACCCGTGGGAGTCATATGAGCGTAACGGATCAGAGCTGTGGTGCTGACTGCGGCGGGTCATCTGATTTCTCTCCCTTCCTGTTTCTGGGGTGAGGAGAGGTTCTATGTGATGGACAAGTGCCTCAGGATCTGCTCCCGACTACTCCAAACTCCCAGCAAGGCCCCTCCAGTTTGCCCCATCCTCTGAGCTCTTTGCTCTTCCCAGCTGTCTCTTGCTGTCTCATGACTTTTAACAGAGGCTGAGAAACACTGGGGAAAATTAATTGGCTCTGAAACTAAAATTCCTGGAGTGAGGCAAGGCACAGTGAAATCACAGCTTTTCACTGACTCCCAGCACAGCACCAGGTTAGATTGTGTAAGTGATTATGCAAGTGGAAGGCACTGAAAAAACAGCCCAAGAGAGTTAGGCTTGTTGAGCCACAGGCTTCCTACGTGAGCCCGAGTGTATGCGTGCCTCCCGCGCCTCCGTCCATCCCTCTGCAGCACAGGGAATGCTCCAAGGGGCACTGAGGGCACCTGAGCACAGTGACATTCTTGGGTGCTGCAGTAGGATGGGGAGCTCAAAGTAGTCAGCCCTGACCTGCTGTTTTATTGCCTGTTTTGCTCCCTGATCCTTCAGCTCACTTGCAACCCTGCGCATGTGGCAGGGCCAAGGGAGCAAGGGCTGCTCTTCCTGCAGCTGGGCTGGCCTCCCCCATGCGCTCTGTCCCCACAGCAGTGACCCAGGAGATGTCCTTCCGCTCAGCGTGCTGTTTTCTGGCCTCTCTGCAGGTGTGGCCTGGCTTCACCGCGTTCCCAGACTTCTCCAACCAGGACACCCATCAGTGGTGGCTGGAGAACCTGCGGCTTTTCCATGCCCAGGTGCCCTTCGACGGGCTTTGGATCGTAAGTCCGTCCTTCCCTCCGTGCGTTGCCTCAGCTGGGAGCTCACTGCAAGCAGCTCCGCTCGCAGCCAGCGTGTGTTTTTCTACCAGTCCCTTTAGGATCAACTGTCCTTCCAATGCAGGTTCTCCAGATTTATTCCATTTAGCAATTTCATTTCTTGTGGGTGTTGGAAGGACACCCACATTATGGACACACTTACCTACATGTACACTGGGCAAAGACGAGCTCAGCTGTTTGTTGCTGGGGAATCATGTAGATCCATCTCAAAGATGCCACTAGCTTTTTAAAAGTGGGATAGGTCGCAAACACCAGTGGTTCAGGCAGGAAATACAGCATCAAGGGGAATTTGGGTTGTGCCATCTTTAGGGCTGGAAGGAACTGAGCGTGTCTGCTAACCTTTAAAACCTCCTTAATCTTCTTTGTTAGGACATGAATGAGCCATCCAACTTCATGGATGGCTCTGAAGAAGGCTGTCCTCCGGGAGACCTCGATAGCCCCCCATACACACCAGGTAGGGAGGGAGACAAAAAAAAATAGCTGTGTTGGTAGGTAAGCCATGCTCTGAAATAGCCAGGAGCTGAGTGCTATGGGAGACAGCTTTTTTTTAAGAGATGTTATGCCTGTGTTATACGCCCTGAGCATGCCCATCCACTCCCTTGTGCATAGGTATCCCTATACAAGTGTGCTGTGCTCGTGGTCTCACAGGGATTTTCCTTTCTCCCATGTATTTTCCTTCCTGCCCCGCATTTTTGGCACCTATGGGGTGCATGTGGGTTCAGTTTTTAAAGCCAGGCACTGTGCACCTACTGAGACACCTGCACACTCCTGTCTGGTTCTTAGCTCTTAAATCAGCATTTGCACAAGAAATTACTCTGCCCGGGGCTAGCAAGCATGGGGGCCTGCATGCATCGGTGTCATCCCCATCACCCTGCAAAGCGGGATGTCTTGTCAAGGGTGTCTCTCCCTCACTGGCAGCTGTGCTGGGGGATTCACTCTATGCGAAGACGGTTTGTGCCTCCGCAAAGCAGAGCACCTCCGTGCACTACAACCTCCACAACCTCTACGGGCTGATGGAAGCCAAGGCAACGGCGAGGTACCCACATGCCCTGCTCGAATGTCCATGTCCTGCCAGCCCTGAGGCTGGGATGGGGGCAGATCCTGCTGGTCAGGGGCCATCATAGGCCAGCCTATATTGGAATGGATGGATTGGAGCACCTGAATCAAAGGGGAGATGTTACAGCTGCTCCCAGCCTGCAGGATGGGTTGGAAGGCCGTGGTGGGTTGGCAGGAGGCAGAGCTGCCCCTCAGCTTTTGGGGGGTGAGGCAAGCTGCTAGGATCTGCTGTCAGCTCCTTGTCTTCCAGCGCCTTGATCCAGATCCGAGGAAAGCGCCCGCTCATCATCTCCCGCTCCACCTTCCCCAGCCAGGGCCGCTACTCGGGACACTGGCTGGGGGACAACCGGAGCCAGTGGAAGGACATGTATTACTCCATCCCAGGTGGGTGCATGGTCTCACCACACCGTCCTCACCCAGGAGACAGCCCGGCAGTACCCAGCACCTACAGCTCATCCTGGGCAGACACTCCGGCACCGGGACATGTCTCCTGCCTGGGAGCCTGAGGCAGAGAGACCCTGAAACTCCCTCTAACCTGCTGGGCACCCCTGCTGACATCTTTGCAGGGCTATTGAGCTTCAGCCTCTTTGGGATCCCGCTGGTTGGGGCGGACATCTGCGGCTTCTCGGGCAGCACCTCGGAGGAGCTGTGCACTCGCTGGATGCAGCTCGGCGCCTTCTACCCCTTCGCCCGGAACCACAACACCCAGAACGAGAAGGTGCAGGGGAGCGTGTCTGTCCCCAGGGCGGGAAGGGGAGGGGGGGGCCGGGAAATCCCCCGCAGGCCCAAGCCCCGACGGTGTTCAGCCCCGCGGCACGGACAGCCATGAAGGATGTGCTGCTGACACGCTACTCCCTGCTGCCCTTCCTCTACACGCTTTTCCACCGTGCCCATCTGCAAGGAGACACTGTCACCCGGCCCCTGTTCTTTGAGTAAGAGTTGGGGCATGTGGGAGCCCAGGTGCCCTCTGTGTCCATGGGTTGGTTCCTGTCCTAGCCAAGCCACTGGCATCCTTTTGCACAGGCCCATGGGTGCCACCTCCCAGACCAGCGGGATGGCCTGTGCCCCTGCCCCACTGCCCTTCAGGGCCCACAGGCCAGGTCCTGGCTGCTGCTTTTGCAGACATGAGGGCTGAGAGCTGGTGAGAAGCTGCCTTGGCTAGTCATTTTGGAGGAGATACGGATTGTCCGAAGTGTTCGATCCAAGCAGCATCCCCATCCCACTCCAGGTTCCCCCAGGATGTGGCCACGTATGGGATGGACAGGCAGTTCCTGTGGGGACGGAGCCTGCTGGTGACGCCGGTGCTGGAGCCCGGAGCAGACTCAGTCACGGGCTATTTCCCCCGAGGCGTGTGGTACGACTTCTACAGGGTGAGCAGTCCGGGGCCAAGCAGCGAGTGCGCTGCGTTTCAGCACTGCAAGGAAGAGGAGATCTTAGGCTGAGCATTGAACACGGTCAGGGAGCCTGGGGGGCTGGGGAGACGCGACAATGTTTTAGCCCAGACAACATCCAAGGGAAGAGAGGATGGGGGAAAGGGGTGGTGGGAGGTGCTGGAAGGACCTGCCACTCTGGGAGGCTGCAGAAGGGTTCCAGCATCTTCTCCATGAGACATGGTGCTTGTGTGGTGGGGCTGGCAGTGTCTGAGCACCCCAGATCCCCCTGTCATGCCCATGTCTCCTGCTCCCTGCCCAGGGCTTATCTGTGAACAGCAGCGGGGAGACGCTGAAGATGTCGGCCCCCCTGGACCACCTCAACCTGCACGTGCGCGAGGGGTCCATCCTCCCCACCCAGGTGAGCTCCTCCTGCCCAGCCCAGCCCTGGCCTGCAGGCAGCTCTATGTGCTGCCTGGATGCCTTGTCCCCCACAGTGGGGACCAGACCAAGCATGCTGTGTCCCAACTAGCACCTACACTTCCCTGTCCCACCGCTTGGCCCTTCCTACCGTTTCTCCTGGGCGTTTGCCTGCTATACAGCACCCGTTTCTTTGGACTCCAGAAACCCGGGATCACCAGTGAGGCGACCCGAGGGAACCCTCTCCGCCTGATTGTGGCCTTGTCCCAGAGTGGCACCGCCTGGGGTGACCTTTTCTGGGATGATGGAGAGAGTCTGGACACCTTCGAGCGCGGCAGCTATTCCTACCTGGTGTTCAACGTCACGCAGGTAGGGCCTGGCCGGGCGAGCAGCAGGACTGATGTCCTGCTGTGATTACCATGGCACGGGATGAGCCCTGGCCAGGGACACGTGACCTCTTCACACTCACATCTTCACCTCCGTCCCAGAACGTCTTCAGCTCCACCGTCCTCCATGCCAGTGCGGAGGCCACGTATGTCATCATCGACACGCTGAGCATCTTTGGCGTTCGGGAGCATCCCAGCAAAGTCCTCCTGAACGGGCAGGAGAAGCCCTTCTCCTACCTGGACAACCAGGTATGGCCCAGGCTCTCCATCCCAGCCCTCGTGGCAGGGGTGAGCAGAGGGCTGGGCAGCCTGGAGAAGTGTTGGGGCCTCCTGGGTGCTTCATGGTGATGGGGAACCAGTGCAAGAAGCACCGCAAGGACCTCAGCAGAGCCGAGTAGAGCGAAGGATGCTCATGACAGGCCATGCCTTCATCCTCACACACATCTCCTCTCACCCTGCAGGTCCTGACCGTGAGCGGCCTCGGCCTTGGCCTCAGCCAGGGCTTCTCGCTGCAGTGCCTGGGAACACCATGGGGAGCAGGAGGAGCTGCCGTCCTGCACCATCGCCAAGGCCATGCCTGTGTCCAGGAGACACTCACAGCCGGGGCGCCGCCGCGGAGGAGGAGGCAGCAGGGCCCATGGCCGCCGCGCTTTCATGCTGCCCCATGCCA